TATCAGTCCTTCTATATGGCAGTGAATACTGGATAATCTGCTCACAGATGAAGAGACTTAAAGCAACAGAATTGTAGTTCTACAGAAGGATACTGAGAATACCAGAGATTGAACATGTGAGTAACAACATTAAAGAAAAATGGAAACAAAAAAACACACTTATACTTAATATCAGAAAGAAATAGTTCAAATTTCTAGGATGCATAATAAGGAAAGAAGGCTTGGAAAATTTGATACTCTCAGAACATATTGAAGGTAAGAGGGATAAAGGAAATCAGGGCATACACATAGTGAGTGTGTTTAAATGGATAGCAGAATAAGCTTTAGGAGAGATAAAAAGACAAAAAATTTATTAAGTTACAAAAGACAGCAAATTGTGGAGAGCCATGATCACCTGTGTCCAGAAAGAATATGGCACATAGAAGTTTAACAATTAAGATGAGATGTAATCTTATTTTAAATCTTATTCCTTTACTTTGTCGGGATCAAAATATGTTTAATATAGTAGGTGTAGTTAGACATCCCAGTCAAACTGTACCATCTAGGTACTGACCAAACTTGACATTGCTTAACTTTGTTGATCATATAAGAACTGGTGTTTCAATGTGATATGGCCATAAGCCCTGGTTTTGTGGAAGGAGCTTGTGATTACATAAGGGGCCTTTCAATCCCATCAGATACACAGCATACAGCTACCTTTTGGAATAGTTAAGAGTGGCTTATTTCATTTTCCCCAAAACCTTTTTCATTCCACATTGTTGTAAACAATCCATTTTTCATTGCCTGTGATTGTTGTTTTAAAAAATGAGATGTCATTTTTGTATTTGAACAATAAGCTACTTGGTTTCAGTGAGAAAATGAAAGAAAGAAATAAGATACAAGTGTTTATCTCTCTTTCCATGAAATTTCAAATCTTTTCATTTGTACCCTCTTAATTTTTTAATGACTTGCATTCCTAATTATGATTGTTATAGCAATATTTTGTTAAAGTTGTCAAGCTCAAATATTTAACGATACAATAAGGGAATTTTCACGGGTATTTTATTGTCATAGAACTCATTATGAACTTATTCAATCATTAATCTAAGAATTAAGATTCATCAGAAAATTCAAATAAGAAAACTGAAAACCTTCACAAGTATTTCTAGTTGTTATTAGTAGACATTATAGAGAAGATTTTAAAAAATTATTAAATATATAAATAGCTAAGGTTGTCTTTTATCAAAGAAATATGGCCATTTTGATTTCATTTCTTTAACTAAAGCAAATGCTAATGAAACCAAAGTTCTTAGATTTAAGAGTACAGTTTTTGTGCCACCAAAATTCTTACACATTTTTATTCTCACACATCTGTTATGGTTTTTGTAAAAGGGTACAATGTGAAGTTAAGTGCATTTTTTTTTTTTTATCATTCAATGAAATCAATGTGTTTCACTCACCCTGGGGTTATCGACTTAAAATTATTAGTTTTTTTTATTGATTTTTGATGACCCATTTTTATTTCTATAAACCTGTCATATATTTTTATAGGTGGCCTTATTTTAGTCTGACACAGTCTTAAAACAAAAATAGAAGTCACTCTGAGAAACTTGGATGCATGTTGTTACATCAGTAAGCCTGTAGTCTAAGCATTTATTTTCCACAATATTTTCAACATAGTCTCCTTCTTTGTTAGTGCACTTAATCCAGCAGTGAATATTCATCTTATGTATGAACAGCAATAACTTTGTAGCCTGATGGCTGACAAAGCATTTTTTTTTGCAAAACAAATATTTATTTTTCAGCATAGTTTCCTTCTTTGTTAATGCACTTAATCCAGTCATGAATGAGGTGAATATTTATCTTATGTATGAACATCAAGTGATTTTCTAAACATTGCTTAGATGTAGCACAAGGCCGAAAATATGGGGCACCCAGTGAGGATCGAACTCACAATTCAGTTGTAATTTTTCTAGCGAGACAAGATTTCTAGACATTACACCATGTTGTGATGCCCATCAATAAGTTTTACAAAGTAAAAAAAAAAAATGAAAAAATTTGGATGCATGTTGTTACATCAATAAGTCTGTAGCCTAAGCATTTATTTTATGCAACCAATATTTTCAACATAGTTTCCTTCTTTCTAAATGCTCTTACTTCAATAGTGAATATTAATAATGTAGATCAGACATACAGAGATAATTGGGAAACAAATGAAAAGATGGAAGAAAAAATATTCTATCATGTTTCAACTTCTTCAGACTAATAATGGTTTTATCAATAGAGTCAGTCTTGTATATAGGTGGATAGAGGTTACAACAAATACCAATTTCAGTTTAAACATTGAAAATGGTTTTTGGTTTGGTTTGTTTTATGGCATATCAACCTCATTGGGTCATTTAATGCTGATAATATTTTTTCATTGCTGGTAATTTTTTTTTTTTTTTTTCAAAAAATGTATTTTTGGTAATGTTTTCTCCAAAAATGCATAGCTGGTATCTTTTTTCCAACAATATATTGTTGGTAATAGTTTTTTTTTTTTTTTTTTTTACAAAATATTTCTGGTATTAAAACCTATTTTTACACTTTCATAGTGTTTTGGCCCCAGTTTGGGGGTTTAACTATTTGCCCATAGCTGGGACCCTAACAAGTGTTACCACCTCGGATCAGGATGGATCTGGAAACACCAGCAATTAAGAGGTGGTTCCATGCTCCTCAAAAACCTCCTGATCAGAGGCCTTGCTGTTGGATGTAGTTTATCGTCTTACCCAGGGCGCAGATATAGTTTATCGTCTTACCCAGGACGCAGATATAGTTTATCGTCTTACCCAGGACGCAGATATAGTTTATCGTCTTACCCAGGACAGAACATTGAAAATGTTAGAGGGACACTTAGCTTTAAATTTAACTTTTTTAATTTTTGACACCAAAGATATGTAAATAGCCAATTTCATTCAACCTTTCTGTTGCTTTAGTTTTCATTTTTCTTACTATTCTTTATAAATAGTCTGTATTGTATCAACATTAGTTTTTGTGAGGAAAAATAAGATGTGGTATGACCTGGGACATAAACTTACTCTAGCAGATTCTGGTATTATTGTTCTCACAGCCAAAATGTTGTGAGACTCTTGCTACTCTATTGCTATTTCCATAGAAAGTGTTCAAACAAATTACATTCTGTTCCACCAGTTCTAATCTTCACAGCTAAGACCTGCTATGTCATGTACATTGTAACAAACTAACCTCATTTTCTTCATATTTTACTCAAGCATCTCTTTCTGTTCAGCTTTGTAGAACCAACTCCCAAGGGGATGCTTCCCTGATCACTACAATCTTAACCTGTTCAAGTCTAAGGTTAATGGTTATCTTCCTCACATATCCTCATAAACTGTGGCTTTTACTCTGTAACCCTCTACATCGAGTGGCTCTTGGGCCTTGTGCAGGATGAACATTATTGTAAAACAAAAAAAAACCAAAAAACTTTAAATACATTTTTGCTTCAATAAATTACCATAAATCTGATGCATATATATATATAATCGACTCTCCTGTCGCGTTCGACGTATGAGGGTCAGGCCGATAAGTCTCCAGGAAACCGACATCCTGACACCGGCACATGAGATTTGTTTATAGTGGTGAAGGCCTCGTGCAGGACCAGCCACACTTTTTGGAGGGACGAATACAGAAACCTGGTGCACCGAATGCATGCCACAAGGTTCCCAAATGACCCTCCATGAGGTTTTGAATTCAGAGTTGTCCTTCTCCTAGACCAGTTGCCATCCAAGGCTATAGAACCCAGTCTGTCCTGCTATTTTACCCATAGCTGGAGGGAGATGAAGAGGATACATACCTTTCCCAAGGGTATTAGCACATAAGTGAATGTAATGGATTCGACTGGAATTCGAACTCGGCTCTGCGATTCCTCAATCCAAGCCGCTATCCACTACTCCACCGTGCCTCCTCTAATATATATATATATATATTATTGCTATTTCAGATCAAAATTCAACTAGTAACTGTATTAGTCTATGGACTTAGTGATCCACTCTTGTGACCAGTTAGTTTTAAGGGCTTTATAGAAATGGGATGGCAGTTTTTGAGGATGTTTTTTGGCACACACAAGTTTACTATGACTAACCCATTTATTAATTTTGAGCCTTTAAAAAGATCTTCTGACACCTACTTTTATTAAGCTTCCTGTTTATTGCATATGGAGAAAAATTCACACCCACCAGTTACTGTATTAGGCACCCAAATTGATTTCAAAATCAAAATCTTTTGCCAAATTTTTATATCTAAAGACTTGATTTTTATTTTATTTTTTTAAATAAAATTGTCCCAAAATTTTTTGATCAATTTCAAATTAAATAAAGTCACTTGTAAATGATTTAGTTTAATTAAATTTAATTATTTATAATAATATTCTTGGGGTCATCAGGTTATTAGGGTATCAAACAGGAGTGTTTCAGGGTTAATCTAATATTGGTAAACAAATCATCAGGATAGAAGAAGATGCAGGCTGATCTTCATAGATTTTGTTTTATAGAAAAAACTTATATGGTGGGAAAAATAGTAAATACTTGCTGTAAAGGTCTAAAAAAAAAAAAAGCAAACAAAAAGGCTGTAAATATAAAATTAACTTCAAAATTCTTCTTTCAAAAAGTGTCCCTGAACCAAATTACTTAAAGGCAGCAAATAATGTTCGTAGTGGTTGTGACAGGAATATGAACTCTATTTTTTTGGGACATTTTATAGATATGTGGTTTGTAGTTATGCCATTTTATATACCTGTGGTTTATAAACACAGTATTTCATAGACCTGCATTTCCTAAGCACATCATTTCATAGACTTGTGGTTCATAAGCACACCATTTCATAAACTTATGATTCCTAAGTACACCAAACTAAAACCTGGGAAATACAGCCTCTTGTGTGGAGGATATAAATAAATAACGGTGAATATGAGAAACTGTAAAATGATGTGTGGAGTTGTTTGCCATTTCTAACCAACTGTTGTACACATGGAAGCCAGCAGGCATATTCACATGATTTGGGTAAACAATAAATTCTATCTTGTAATAATTATGAGCTGGATCAGAATAGTTGAAAAGAGCCTTAGCCAAAAATAACTCTATTTGCAAAGTGGATCTTGAGGGGAGGGGGAGCTGAGATGTAAACAAGGCTAATGAAATATTAGGTTTTTCTACTAGACTGATGAAATAACCAAAACACATTTGTTTTATTGCAATGCATTATAGTGCAGAAATTTTTAAATAATTACAGACAGAAATAGTAAATGACTATTGTAGTACAACTAGAACAAAATATTTTCCCATAAAGATTTAATTTTAAGTTAAAAAAAAAAAAGAAAAAAAGAAAACAAGTTGCCAATTTAATGTAATGGTTAATAATCCAGTCTGGTAATTAGGATAATAAGTTTGATCTTAACAAGTTCCCTATTATTAATTTTTGATAATAGCAAGATTTTATATATATATATATATATATATATATATATATATATATATATATATATATATGTGTGTGTGTGTGTGATTAAAATGCCTTAGAGAGAGAATATCATGAAATCTACAGACACACACACACACACATGCATAAAATCCAATGTCAAGGCTTATTACCATATCACATTGAAACACCAGTTCTTGTACAATTATTAAAGTTAAGCAACATCAAGCCTGGTCAGTATATTCCCATGAAGATTTAATTATAAGTGAAAAAAAAGAAAAAGAGATAAGTTGCCAATTTAAGGTAATGGTTATTCTTTCAATTTATAACTGAAAGAGGATTCTTACCTTTCCCAAGGCTATTATTGAGCACAATCTCTTTCATCTGGAATTTGAATATTGCTCACTGACTCCATCTTCTATACTGTTAACTTGCACCTCCATTTATGTCTTTAAATTTACCTGATTAGTTCTTATGTGATACTATGGGTCCACATTTGATTAATTGGACAAGTGGATTGTGAATGATTTTATGTGGGGTTGAAGTGATTGTCAGGTTTTATGGCAACTGACAGTAAAATTGAGATGTTAAAATTTCAAAGTAACCATCTGCTGTCCAGAAAAAATGGGGGAGGAATAAAATAAATTTTAGGAACTAATAACACTCAGCCAAAAGGTAAGGAATTTTGGTTATTGGCAGCGAAAAAAAGAAAAACAAAAAGATGCAGAATTGGAGGAAGATGGAGTTCCTGCTGACTGAAAGGAATATCTGGCAAATTTGTTTTGAGAGAAATCTGAAGTATCAGTGAAGGTATCCTAAGTGTGACTTAACCAGGCAGTGCCAGGTGATCTGACCCTGGTAAAAAGAACTCTGTTTATCAAAATGAACAGGCTTCTTGACTTTCTCCCCATGTTATATCATGCTGTCAATTTCTATGATGAACATGCAATGGGAATTTCCCAGTTTTGTTCACACTAATACAAATGGGAATCAAACAACAGTGTGTGGCAGAAGATGACTGGTTGAGGGACCTGGTTGAATGGTCAAACATAAACAGTAAATATTGTTTAAATTTCTCTGTATTCAGACTGTTTTTATGAAATTAAAAAAAAAATCTTATACAACATATTGTAGAATTTCTCTTTTTGAAAGTTATTGGTTTGTCATAGTTGACAATAGGAGCACCAGTTTTCTTTCTTTTATTTTTTTACTATCACTTCCTAGGCAGATCAGAAGTTTATAAAAGTATTATTCAGCCTTTTCTCCAACTATTGTGACATGCCAATATTGAAATATTTTGTCATGATGTCTGATGGAGGGAGAAGTGGATTCATGCCTTTCACATGGTTAAAAGCAAAAAAATACAGTTGCTTGACTTTAGATAAAAAAAATAACTCATTTAAATTTCTTGTGTAATCCACCATTAGTTATTTTTTTCCTTCTTTTTTCTCCTATTTTTCCCCCTTTTGTATTACTTTCTCTCTTTCTGGAATACCATCACTATTTTCCCTTTTGTAATCCCCTCTCTCTGTTTCCCTTTGTATTCCCCCTCTCTCTCTTTCCTTTTTTGTATTGCTCTCTCTGTTTTTCCTTTTTGCATTCCCCTCTCTCTGTTTCCCTTTTGTATTCCTCTTCCCTTTCCCTTTATATGTCTCTCACTCGCTTTCCCTTATGTATTCCTACTCTTCCTCACTCTCTTTTGTATTCCCTCTCTTCCCCACTCTCTTTTGTATTCCCTCTCTTCCCCGCTCTCTTTTGTATGTCCTCCACTTTCCCCACTCCCTTTTGTATTCCTCTGCTCCCCCCACTCCCTTTTGTATTCCTCCACTTCCCCCACTCCTTTTTGTATCTCTTCTCTTTTCTCACTCTCTTTGTATCTCTTCTCTTCTCTCACTCTCATTGTATCTCTTCTCTTCTCTCACTCTCTTTGTATCTCTTTTCTCACTCCCTCTGTATCTCCTGTCTTCTCCCGCTCCCTCTGTATCTCCTGTCTTCTCCCGCTCCCTCTGTATCTCCTGTCTTCTCCCGCTCCCCCTGTATCTCCTGTCTTCTCCCACTCCCTTTGTATCTCCTGTCTTTCTCTCTTTTCCCCTTTAGTTTTCTCTTCACACACTTTCTCTCTTACATTTGTATCTTTTCCTGTCTGTTGTGTATTTTGTCCCCTGATTTTTCTTTCTTCTCTCTTGTTTTTCTCTCTTTTTGTTTCTTTCTTCTCTCTATTTCCCTCTCTTGTTTCTTTTTCTTTCATGTTTCTCTTTCATTCATTTCCTCTTTCCTCTTTTTTAGTTTTACAAATATTTCAAAGAAATTAAAGATATTGTTACTTTTGAATGAATAAAATCAGCCCAGTAGTTTTAAAATTAAAGAAATCTATTTTTATTTGACTAAATAATAATGGTTTCTCTAATTTTCAAATAAAAAACAATTTCCAGCTAAATGTATTAATTTGGCATATTTTTTTGTTACCTACAAGCCAATATTGGTGATTAATGTGTGAACATTCAGTTTAACCAATGAAAGTAATTTTTAATCCAGTTTTTTTTTATAACCTTGTCCCATTTAAATACTTTTTTTCTTTCACAGGTTTCATGTCACAGTAAAGTGCCATTTCAACATTTCCGAGTTTATGCAAATGTTAGGTGAGAAATTTTTATCAGCTTGTTGTCTTCATAGCATGCTATTCATTTCTGCAATGTTTAAAATCATGTTTAATCAATGACATATGATGCAGTTTTCTTGTAGATGGATTTGAAAATTGATCTTTAAAAATGAAGCTAACAAAGAAATAGTTTGTAAGAGATTCACTTGAGATAAATGCCATTAATCTTGATAATAGCAAGATTTTTTTATATGTGATTAAAATGTCTCATAGAGAATATCATGGAATCTACACACACACACACACACACACAATCCAATGTAAAGGCTTATCGCCATATCACATTGAAACATTGGATCATGTACATTCATCAAAGTTAAGCCTGGTCAGTATATTCCCATAAAGATTTAATTATAAGTGAAAAAAAAGGAAAAAAGAACTAAGTTGCCATTTTAAAGTAATGGTTATCAATCTAGTCTGGTAATTAGGACAATAAGTTTGATCTTAACAAATTCCCTATTATCCTGGCCTTGTGTCATACTAAGCTTAGTAAATATTAGCAACGCAAGAATTCTGACATTATTGCCATTTGTTAATTGATAAATAAAGTTCTCTTAAAATTTTAATTTGTTTTTAACATAATCCACAATAAATTTACCTTGAGCAACAAAAGAATAATCTTGTTAGGCTTACAGCCATATCACATTGAAACACTGGTTCTTGTATGATCATCAAAGTTAAGTAATGTTGAGCCTAGTCAGTACCTAGATGGGTGACCACTTGGAAAAATACCAGGGGCTGTAAGTTTGGGTGTGCAAGTCGTGTAATGGATAACAGCTTGGAATTGGAAATTGGAGAGCTGAGTCCCAATTCAAGTTGGATTTGTTATATCCACATATGAGCAAATACCTTTGGGAAAGGTATGAATCCACTCCTTCTTCCCCCAACTTTGGGTTAATTAGTAAGATGTGTATGAGTAATTCATTATTATCTCCAAAAAGTTCTTAAAATCTGAGAATATTTTCTGGCTTTAAATAACCTGCAAAAGGTTGATAAGCCTAAAAGAAAACAATAAAATGCAGTGTATATTTTTATATATACAAGAAGGTGCAAAAAAATTCTCAGTCTGACTGAATTAAGAAGCCCTTCCAAAAAAATATAAAAAATTTTGAATTTGTTTTGGAACAGCTTGTTGATCATGTCAGGCTGAAAACTTTTCAGCAACCACTTTAAACAATGGTAAAATTAACCATTTCCCTATAAGGAAACATATGGCATTCATTGACCAAGCAGCCAGTACTGCTGTTGGTCAAAATTTATAAAATTTTTCTCTTAAGACTGTTTTTAAGGAAAACAGGTTTCTCATGTCTGGTAGCTCTTATTGCTCTTTCCAGTATTGATGGGAATTTCCTTCCTAAACTTTTATTTGAAGTAATGTCGAATGTCAACATCTTGATTATGTCATTATTTTACTCATTATTCAATACACAGATTGAGTAATAATATTCAAGACAAAGAAATTTCTTGACAGAAATATTATTCCCTGCTCCTAAATGTTTAAAAACAATGTATACAATTTTATTCTGAACAACATTATTTGATGGTTTCCCTCTTTGTATATTTTGAGTCTATTTTTCATAAAATTCTCTGATGACACTATTTATTAAAAATCCACCTTTATAAGATTGTTTCCTATAAAAGTCCCTCTAATGATCATTTTGTCTCATAAAATTAAGCTATATTCCTACTTGATAATTTGTGTCACAAGTTTTTTTTATGGATGTGTCATATTTAAGAAAACAGATTTTCTTTGTTGTATTTACATGTCAATCTGATGTAATTATAAATTCTGTGTTTATTTCAATGGATACTGCAAATTCAATTTTACTTGTTTGCATTGTAAAATTGAGTTTTAACGTAAACGTGTAATGAGGTCCTCACCCAGCTCTTCTTCGACCTGCCAATGACTACTCCACACTGTATCTTCAGCAATGTTTAATCTTCATACTTGCAAAAGAAATGTGTCAAAAGGATGGCTTTTACTTTGACGCTGCTATTATTTTGTACTACCAACCCTCTTTTTGATCTTTGTAAATGATCTGCCTAATATACTCAAATCATTTGTAAACATCTATGCTGATGGCATGACTATACATGGGTGCACCTCTGAAACTGTTGATGGGCAGAGATTGGCAACTGATCTCTCTTTCAATCTTGCATAAACTATAAAAAAAAACTGGTTGGTTACATTCAATGCCTTGAAGATCAGGCTTGTAGTCATCACTGATCTGACCTTGAATGAGCACCAATCAAGATGAATGGAGGTCTTCTCAGGGGAAGCACTGTGCATTAAAAGACTGTTGGACCTCAAACTCATACTTGACCTGAAGTGGAACTTGTACATATGATCCATTGCTAAAGATGCAGATAAAATGGTCGGCTTCTGTATCATTCCAACTTATTCTGCTATCCTCTACCTTTACAAGAACCAGATCAGACCAAAAATGGATTACTGTTGTCATATTTGGGTGGTTGTTGCCCAGACCTCAATCTCCAGCCTTGTCCAAAAACATATTCTCCACCCTTCAACCTTTCTCCCACAGGTGGAATGAGGCAAGCCTCTCCCTGCTCTACTATTACTTCCATGGAAGGTTCTTGGACGAACTACATTCCCTTGTCTTGTCACAGCAAGAACATGCCATGCCACTTACATAATAGCAAACCACTCACATTCCCTCTGTATTCCATCGGTGAGAAGTAACTTCCACTAGAATAGCTTCTTCCCATGAACCACTGCCCTGTGGAACCACCTCCCAACAGGGGGTTTCCTCCAATCACTACAATCTTAAGCTGTTCAAGGCCAGGGTTAACTGGTATCTTCCACTCCTATACACACAACTGGCTCCTGATCGTAACCCTCTACCTTGAGTGGCCCCCAGGACTTGTAAAGGGTGAACCTTGTTGTAAAAAAAAAAAAAAATCCTTCACTCCCTCGGCAATGTTTATTTACAAAATTATAAAAATATGTGAACCAAGTACAATGCGATATTTATTATTTACCTTTTATAAAGAAATAAATGTGAAAAGAAATCTTATTATAAATTTATGAATAAAATATTTTTATATTTCTTATATAAATTGATAAATGATAAATATTGCATTGTATTATTTGGTTTGTATTTTTAGAATGTTGTAAATATAAAATTATTCTTGCAAACAAACAATCTAATAAATAAATAGTGGTTAATATTTTTGCTGTACATTCTCAAAGAACAAAGCAATTACATAAATTCACTTTCGTGTGCTCGAGTTTTATTCAAATTCTGATAATCACTTTTTAAAACAACAAACATTGCCAAGGAAGTTAAGGTAGTTAAAATAATAGTGGTGTTAAGGGAAAAGCTGCCATTTTGACACCATTTTATTATGGGAATAAAGTTAAGCTCTGCCAGGTCTTCATTTGCATCTGTGTCAGTATGCACTAAAAACTGGAGAAAGGTTGTTGCAAGCTCACAAAGAAATGAAAATTCTTAAAAAATGCCATGGCTTCAAATGAGGCCTTAGACTTTGTTTCTAGATCAAATTTTTAGGTGTTTATTCATGGCTTCACTTTGCTCAGTTAGGGAAGATAGGTAGATAACATTTTGAACAACTTCTGCTATGTGCTATGTCAGTCCTTTCTTTTGACTCTTCCTCCTCCTACCAAATCTCTGTCCATCCCCACATGATGTATGCCTAGCAATGCAAATGGGTGGTGTTGGAACTGCCCCTGTGAATAGGCAAATTCCAACTTGACTATTAATATAGGCCTCTAACTGGAAATCATCAATAACTGGTTTGTTGTTGCTTAACCCCCAAATTATTTATTTATTCTTTTATTCCCTTTTGGTCAAGTGGTTGATCCCTTTGAAGATTATATCTCTTAGACTTTATTGCTTGTCATAATATACAAAACACCCGAGATCAAGATAAAAATCACACATCACCCCCTTTTATGTGGCTGTCCTAATCCTAGTGTCACAATAAAATATTTTCATTAAACAGGATAAAAACTCCTTATATTTATTTAAAAAAGGCTTCTCCATTTACATAAAATACTAGCATATCTATGCTGTTAAAATAATGGTATATATGAAATTAATAGTTTTTATTATATTTTTATTGTCAAAACTTTTGTCTTAATTCTTATTTTTTTTATTGTTCTCTTATGTTTTTTTTTCTCATATTCTTTCATACTCAATAATCTCTTGCATCTTAGTGGCTTTATTGCTTTGCTTGGAGTGAAATGATTAAAAAAAAGAATCATAGCTGAATATAAAGCATTGCATATAAATGTAACAACTATTAACTCTCAGTATCATGGCATATTTGATTATCCAACAAAATATATTTCCTTAATATTTAACAAATGGCAAGTCAAATTTCATGATAAGTCAATTAGGTTTCGGAATGCTTTAGTCAATTAACAAGAAGTTTCTGGTTTTAGTCATATGTGGGAATTATTTTTTTTTTTCATTTACTGAAAATAACATTAAATCTTTTTGCGTATTTGAATTTTTGAAACATTCAGATTTATTTTTAATATTTTCCTTTTAATTCAGTTTTTTAAAATAAAACATTTTTTATTTTCATTTTTATTAATCCTATAAAAAAATAAAACAATACTCAAGATGTGGTAGGTGTGATATCACCCCCTGAAATAATAATAATAATGATAATAAAGGCGAATATGCTGTAAAACAGAAAACACCAAGAGAAGAGAGGCATTTTCAAATAACCAAGATGTTAATATGCTGTAAAGACTTTGAAATGTAAATGTTACAGAAAGTTAATTTAGAACACGAAATACAATCTTTTTGTAAGTGTAAAAAGGATATCAGATTATTAATAGATAATTACTGGAACAATGATAATTTAGAACTTTTAGAAAAAGAAATGCATTTTGACACTATAAGAATTGAAATTAAAATAATGGATGTTTTAATTTAGAATTTATTTTTGAAACAGGACTTTCTATAGTTTACAAAAAGTGGCAGAGTGGTTGATCACTAGGTGATAAACAATAATCATGTTGTGGACCTTGGAAACCAATCAATGAAAAGTAAATTGTTTACTCTCGGAGGAGTGAAATTGTACTTTGAAAGTATGTCAGTATGTTTGCACTAGAAAAACAAATATATCACCAGTTCTTTGAGGTCAAGGAAGCGAAGTACCACTGCTAATATCTAAGTACTACTACTCCTGCTACTACTAATACTATTACTACTACTACTATTATGACTACTGAGAATGGGAACATTGAAAGTTGTAGTAGTTGCGCTAAGAACAGAGCAAAATGGGTTAAAATGAAAACCACATCTCTCCTTACCAAAATTATTCGAAGTAGTTGTGTTTGGTTATTATTCACTTACAAGAAACATTCAACCTTGTGCAACAAGAATTTTTATTTTTTTCACCTGACGAAATTGCAAGTGGACCAATGGGGAGCTTCTGGATTACTACAATCTGATGACCACTCTCTAGGATCAAAAAAATCACAACGTGGCTGAAGGGTGGCTTTGAAATGACATTGGGAACCAGAGACTTGTGTCTAACCTGTAATACTGGACCCTACAGGACCAACGGCCAGTCTTGTGGAGTGCGTTGGTCCAGTGTGGTGAGGGTATGGTGTTACAAAGACAAAATATACAAATAAAATTAAGAAATAATCTATAATTTTATAAATGTGGAATTTGAAATCCTTATAGTATTCATGTTGTGATAATGCACGTAGAGGATTAAGAGGCATAGTTAGCTAACTGAACAGTAAAATATTGAAACCTATCTGTCAATCTAGCACTATGTCAGAATTCATGTGTTTGAGGCATCCAGAAAGTGAATTCATTAGAACAACTGCTATGAAAATATTTATAGAAAAGACAGAGGGAAGCCATGTCACAGTGATGGGAATGTGATTGAAGTCAAGATGGCAAAAAATTCATGAGTCACACTATACATGAAGCCAGCTTATACATGAGTAGATACAGTATCTTGAGGTATATTTATATAGCAGGAGCACCAAACCAAATATGGTAGCAATATCCAGTGCACAGACAAATGGTAGGTTTATAAGCAAGCAAGATGGATTTTAGTGAGAAAAATTATCTATCACAACATAGTGAACCAACATTTGTAGCAGCAAACCTATCAATGGATTCAATATAATCACTCCATGTCATGTCAGTGGAAAAATATGTGGCTGAGAAGGTGCAATGAGTCACTATCCTGGTGGTTAGCATCAGCCATGCTGATGGAAGTCAAACATTGTTCTCTAAGATAATTAAAAGATAAGTTTTGTTTTGGGGCAGTTAAAGTTTACAAGCCATTGCTTGCACCAACTAATAACAGATTGAGGGTAATTTTGGAGATTAGCCAGTTTTACTTTATCAGACATATCGGACTTATATTATTAAGACAGGAGTAAATTGTGTTATTAGCATAGATACCGAGTTGGGAACTGATGACATCATGAAGGTTGTTGATGAAGATAAGGAACAAAGTAGGCCCAAGGATAGAGACCCACATTAATTTGGAAGGATCTAGAGGAGTGGCCATTCAACATGACTTTCATTACACGATTTGTTAAAAAGGATTGGATCAAGCCAAAAATTCAGCTGGAGACACCATATCCCTTCAGCTTATGAAGAAGACCAGCATGCCAAACATTGTCAAACTCTTTCAAGATATCTATAGCCAGACCTTCATCATTCTTATCTAAAATCTGACATACTCTTTCAGTAATAACCATTAACACATATTGTTTGGTAGAAAGAAGGTCGTGTGAAGTGAGATACTTAACCAATCATTAGAATAGAACTTATGATTATATTTAACCATTTCAACAGTAAAATGGATGAGACCTAATTGCCAATCTAGTACTGCACTTAAATTCATGAGTTACCAAAGAGGAAAATACATTAGAACAATTACCATGAAAATATTTATAGTAAAGACACAGAGAATCCATGTTACAGCAGGAGGGAAAGTGACTGAAGCCGAGATGCCAGGTCAGGACCAATGAATTTACGGATTCTACTTTGGAGTTTGCTAAGAATTTTGAGATATATAGCAGGAGCATCAGACCAAATGTGGCAGTAATATTCAATGCATGGATAAATGATAGATTTATAAACCTGCAAGAGGGGTTCTAGCAAGAAAAATTATCTGGCATGACATGGTGAGCTAACCTTCCTAGCAGTAGACTCAGAAATTGACTCGATATAATCATCCCACTTCATGTCATTGAAAAACGTGAGACCAGGAGTTAGAAAGTGATGACATCAGGAATGTTGTTGATGAAGATAAGAAACAAAGAAGATCCAAAAATAGAGCCCGGGGGGGGGGCAGTTGGATTAATGTAAAAGGATTTAGAAGAGTAGCCATTTAATATGACTTTTATTACACAATTTGTTCAAATCCAAAATTTGTGCCAGAGACACCATAATCCTTCAACCTGTGAAGAAGACCAGCATGCTAAACCCTATCATATGCCTTTGAGATATCTAAAGTCACAGTTCTTATCTTTGCTGTTTTTATCTAAATGTTTGACAGACTCTTTCAGTAATAATTGCTAACATATCAGTAGTTGATTGAGAGAAGTGAAAACAATATTGTCTGCCCTAAGATGACCATGTGAAGTGAGATGCTTAACCAATTCAGAGATGATTAAAGTCTCTAGATTGATAGAAGACTAATAGGTTGATAATTCAAAGGATCAGACAGTACACCAAAGTTCTTAAAAATCAGAACTACAGAAGAGGATTTCCAACAAGCAGAAAAGCAAGAAGCAGCAAGGCATTTATTGTAGAGTTTAGAAATAACAGGAATCATTTTAGAGACACATTTCTTAAAAACTTAAAATGTTTTTAATTCATTTTTTTCTTATTTTTTTACTTTTTAACATTGTTGATGAAGATAAGAAACAAAAAAGATCCAAATATAGAGCCCTGGGGGACAGTCAGATTAATGTGAAAGGATTTAGAAGAGTGGCCATTCAATATGACTTTTATTACACAATTTGTTCAAATCCAAATTTGGCCTGAGACACCATAGTCCTTCAATTTGTGAAGAAGACCAGCATGCCACACCCTGTCAGACACATTTGACACTTTACTGTTTTTATTCCTCATAGGAATGCTGAAAGCATTGTGTACACTACAGGTGTGTCTTCTATGTGCCCTTCAGAATGTGGGCGATCATGGCTCGCCACAAGTTCCTATTCATTGTAACTCTTAATAAAGTTTGTCTTTTCACTATCTCTCCCAGTTTCTGTTCTGGCATCCAATTATACAATCTCATTATGTAGGTTAATCGTTGCATTCCTTTGATCTCTTGCCCTCAGTCTGGTTTGAGTGTGTTAAATTCTGCACTTCTTTCCCTGTTTTGTATCCTAGTAATTTCATCTGTCTCTTTCGGTTTCTAAACAAGCATTCTTTTTTGTTTCCTCTTTCTTTAAAATTTACACATTATTCACATGTTCAATCTATGGTATTCTCAGTATCCTTCTGTAGAACTATATTTGCCTCAAGTCTCTTATGAAGAAACCATTAATGAATCAGTAAGCAGTAAGGTGAGATAGTACAAATGTTTTAAGATTTTTGTAGTAAATGGTATCTACATTGAAGGGAAGTATAGACAAGTCTATTAATAAATTGTGGTTAATTGCTATGAAATTTTAAATTTGTATACAGTGAAGATTTGAATTGTATTTTCTTTTTCTAGTGAAATAATTGGTGCTATACAAGAACCAGGTGCTGGAGTAGAATTGGGAATGCATGTCCGAGGAGGAATTGTTTACAGAAATTGTTTCCAAGGTAATTATTTTTTCTTTTCTATGGCTGCTTTTATGAATTATATTCATACATACATACATACATACATACATAGCTGTGTATTCTTGTTGAAGCAAGACTGGAATTAATCTTGCACAAAGTCATGCCTGACAAAGGGTTTGTCATAATGATTTGAGGACAAGGTTTTACAGGGCCAGATGCTCTTCCTGATGCCTAACTCAAACACTCACAGTAGTTCAATTACACAGTATTTTTATTGAGAAACTGTAGGAGGGTTGGCTGGGATTGAAACCTTACCGATTTGACATCATTCAGAAACTCTCATCCTTAGGTCATCAGATGAGATGGAGGGGATTGGGGGGAGAAAGGTTTAAGGAGGTAACGGATGGGTAGTAGTAGTAGTAGTAAGCCTTAACAGACTGGCCCCACCAAGAATTTCTTGAAAATTTGGAATTTTGTACATTGTTTTATACAGCAAGTTCACTGATATGGCCCGTTGTTTTAGGTATGACCAACCAACACAATTTTAAAAACATCTTCCTCTCCTTCTCTCACACCCTCTCTCTTATGTTCCCTTCCCCCTATCAATCTAATATATCCGTCTGGTATATTGTCTCTATTGACTAAGAAATTTTGGTCTGAAGAAACAAATACTTAGGTATTATTATTGTAATCTCTACTTATTATTAGTATTAAGGACTCTTTCATTAGACTAACTAATTGAATTGGTTTGTCCTGCCTAAAACAACAAACCATATCAGTCAATTTAATGTATAACCCAATATAAAAAGTTCCAAACTTTAAAAGAGAAATTCTTGGCTGGGCCAGGTGGTTTAAGCTTACTACTACTCAACCATTACTTCCTTAACCATTTCTTTTCCTACCCCCTACCCCATATATCATCTCTTCTCTCTTGCTTTCCCTCCCCCATATCAATCTAATATATTCATCTAATGTATTGCCTCCATTTACTAAGGAGATTTTGCTCTGAAGAGATGAACATTCCAGTGTTCATAAAATAAATTATAATCAAAATGAATAATTAAAGTTTCCTTCTTTATTATTATTATCATTATAATGCTCTGTAGTCTACATAGAGCTCTCCCTGGATTTATATCCTCCTTGGAATTATCCCTACCAGTCACAAACTGGTAATATTTATATATATATGAGATAGTGATATATAAATTTTTATATATCAAGAACAATATGGGGGGGGGAAATGTAGGTCAAAGTGGAAAAAAATTTCATGTAGCGTGTTACATCCTTTAGGACTTTATCAGACTAAATTTGTTGTAATATCAACCATCAATGGTATAATTTTGTAAGAGTCATGGTGCAAATTTACTGTGGTTGACCTTGTGATCAAGGCACTCTCTAAACATTTTTTATATATATATATATATATATATATATATATATATATATATATATATATATATGTGTGTGTGTGGAACCATCATATAGCCTGATGTGCTTTACCATTTAGCTACAGAGGAAGTGTCTGGTTAGCAAGGTTAAATTACTACAATTACTGTTTTTGAACTACAAAAACTGTAATTTAATCTTGCTAATCAGATGCTTCCTCTGTAGCCAAATGGTAGAGCACATCAGGCTATAAGGCAGGATATAGGTTTGATTCCTGTCAGAATACACATATTTTCTTTGAGATTTCTCAGACATTCAGGCTGGAAGATGTTGTTAATACTGTTTATTATAAACAGAGCATTTACTTAAATATTTGTATCTATAAAAATAATGTATAAACAAAAAATATATATATTGACTCTTAATTTGTGGTTAACAAAAAAGAAAATGTATTTGAGGTACATGTGCAGATTTAAGATTTGTACTGTGAAGGTCAATGGTCAACATGTTTTATTTTTCCTATCTTTTCTAAGGTTGTGATTTGGTCAATTGGTTGTTACGATGGTCAGTTGTGAGGAATCGGGATGATGGTGCAGCCATGGCGCAGACCCTTTTAAAGCTTGGTCACTTGCAGGAAGTAGAATTAAATGATGGCTCAGCAATTGCTGGACAGAGATTCAAGGATGGAGAAAGTTTGTACAGATTTGTAAGTTAGTCACTTTGGTATTTTTAAATAATTGTTTGTAATAAAGTGATCATCATAGTATTTTGTGTCAGTCAGCAATTTTCTGAAGTACCGTTATCCTGTGTGTATAAGAATTTGGTTTGGAATTTCATGTCCAAAAGTCTATTGTGTCTTATACTTTAGTTTAGAACTTGATCCCATTTTTTCTGGGACTCTTAATGGACAAAATCTGGTCAAATTAGATTTAATTGTTTACAAGAGGGATAATATCTACCTAATGGTGTATTGCAACAAAGGGAAATAAATCACATTTACACATTGGGAGATAGATTGAGAAAACCAGAACTTGAAGGCTATTGCAAGTAGTTAATCAATGCCTGGGAAGAGTTGGATATCATTGTCAAAGCCTTCAAGAAATGTTGCATCTCAAACAAGCTCAACAGCACCAAAGATGACATCCTATAGAAGGAATTCATATAGAAACTGGTGTCAACAGAGGTACCACAAGAAACCAATGACAACGATGACAATCTCTCTGATGTTACCTTTGACACAGATTTTTACTCACAGCCTGACAGAGAAAGAATTCAATCAGTCTGACAATAAAGGCAAGTTTGAAGAGTTTGGCTAAGAGAAACTTTCACTCTTGCATCTTGAAAGCCTATGAGCACAGAAAAATGACCTGAATTCCTCACAAACAGTCCTTTTTAGATCTACACAATTTCAAAAGAAATACCTGAGATTGTGAAAAAAATTAAAACTAGACAAACAAACAAGTTAATATTTATTCATTTTTATTTTTATTTCTTTTCTCAATGTGTTTTGCTGATTTCATGGTCTTATACTGCAAGGCTCATTATCCTATTTTTTGTAATGCTTACAAATTACAAAAGTAAACAAAACGTTCTGTTTTTTGGGGGTGCAGAGGTGGTGGTGGGTCTTAATTTTTTTCTCTTAATTTTTCTCAAGATTTTTTTTTATTTTCTTTGCTCTAAAATCAGGTGCATTTTATACATGAAAATAATTTTTTTAACTCCCACTTGATCTGTTTGCTCCCAGCATTCCCTAGTGAGACCGGAAGTGGTTACAATCATCATCATTGATGTTAGAAAACAGTTTGCTTATTAAAAAGAAAATTGACGCGATAAACTGAATTAAATTCTTAGCCAACCCAACATTATAAATATCTAAATTTAAGTCCTTCAACTTTCATTTTAATTCATCAACCATTTTTAAAAAGAATTCAGTGTTTATTTTGTGTGTGTTTGTGTACATTCATTGTGTACTTCATTTATTAAAAGTCAGCCACTATTGGTGAGAAGTGTAAAAAATTTTCATTTTAATAAATTCTTGGCTTTTAGAATAAATCTAATAGCATTTTAATTAAAAATTTTTCTATCATCACAGCATTATCCCTAAAAATCTGACCTGATGTCCCAAACTAATGTTTTATCATTTCCAGAATGGCATTAATTTTGAGCCCTGCAGTAATACTGCAAACAATGAGTGGCTAAATTAAAAGGCCTTTTTATTTTTAAATGCTTTCTTTCAGCTAAAAGATTGCTACTTGTTTATTTGGAGCTATCATAAGACCCTAGGCAAAACTTACTGATGTTTGATTTCTTTTCATGCCGAGAGACTCACTTGGCAGGAATATTGAATGCTTCCATACGAAAAGCATTAATCTGAAATAATTTAAATGCTGCCAAGGATTTCTTTTTTTTATGTTGCCTCCAGTTTATATTTGCTAATGTGACTTTTTTTTTAATCTACCCTAACAGCGACCATCTGCTGATACAACAGATGGCCTTTTGGCAATAAAATCACTGAAAATCCAGTTTTGAAAAGAAAACAAATAAACATTACTCAAAGAATAAGGGACGTATTTATAAAAATGTTCACCCTTGTACAATTTGAGGTATGCACAGACTAGAAGTTTATAGATCAGGAATTTTTTATGGACTTGATTATAGTTCTAGAATTTAACAGAATAGAAGGTTGTAGTTCTGGAATTTTTGACATTTTTGCTTACACATTCTTTTTGCTTGGTACTATGTGAAACCAAATTTATCATCAAAATTATTTCACAGACATTCAACACAATCAATAAAGTTCCTAAATCTTAAAATTTTACCAATCTATATAATACTAAAAACTGTATTTTGTATGTTTGTCTAACCCCAAAGCAATCAAAGCATTGCACTATTACTATTCATTAAATTACCCCTAAAATGCACTAATTTATAGAATACAAAAATAATCTGTGTTTGTGTGTGTGTGGGAGGGGTGTGAAATGAATGTCAGTATTGTAATTAAAATGACAAGGGAGACAACTATTAAATGTTAATGTAAGTGCAAGTCATATAATGATTATTGGCACGGAAAAGAGAATCAGTAAGCAAAGTTCAAATTCTGTTCTAGTCACTTGAAAAGAAAATGAATTTATCACTTTTAACTCCTGCTATGGGTTAAATAGGATAGACTGGGCTCTCTCGCCTTGGCTGGCATCCTGTCTAGGAGAATCAGGATCTATAGCATATTGCATACAAACATTCAATTGTTCATTTCAAAGATTCTAGCTTTGAGTGGCCATATTTGTTTTCTTTTGATTGCCTGATCACTGTTGTCAATCAATCTAGAGCTGCTGATCAACTCTCCTGATACTGTGATGAAAATCCAGAGGTGCTCACCTTTGTTCTGGAAATCTTTGTTTCGACATTTTTATGTTCATCTTATCAGCCTGCCCTTCGATGTTACTTAGGGTGACTTGGTATAAGGGTGTTATATACCGACACCAGGGTTGGGAAGATATATAAACAAGCAATTTTAAAGGCAGCTTTTTTTCCTTCCTTCCTTTTTTTTTTTTTTAACTAATGTTCACCCAATACAAGGTCTAATAGCCACTCTAGGTAGAGGGTTACTGTGTGGACTTATATTAACATAGAAAAAGACAAACATTAGGAGTATAGAGCTGATTTCTAGACTAACCAGAAATGAGGGATAAACCTCTACTCCTGTTCAGAAGTAAACTGGATGACAGGCAAACCTATCTACTCCTATTGGTGAAGAAGAGAAAAAAAAATGAAATAAATAGTGAATCAAATTTCAGAGTTCTGGTACAGACATTAGGAGTAAAGAACTGAAGCAGATTTTAGAAGGCTTCCTCCATTAGGTGAATTTACTTGTTCCAGATACCAATCTGAAATTGATACCATCATGATATGATTTTTTATATCACAGATTTTTCTTCTTTTAGACTGAAAGCCTTTGTTATGGCTATCTATTCCAGCAGAGATTTGAAGTCAGATTTTTCTTTGTTAGATTGACTATCTGCTCAGGTCAACAAGTTCCATCTACCTTATTTAAGCTTACAGTAACCTGTATTCCTAAGAAATCACCCATCTAAGTACTGACCTTGGTTTAATACTTCTTAACTTTGGTAATCAAAAAAGAATTTACAATGTTATCAGTGGCAAATTGGCTTCAGTCACTTTCCCACCACCATAACGTAGCTTCTTTGTGCCATTTCTATGAACTGTTCTTTGGTATCACGACTTTATGAATTTAAGTTCAATACTAGATTGGAAGCTAGGTCTTACCATTTTACAGTTGAAATTGTTAAATACAACCATAAATTCTATGCTAACAGTTCACACTTCTGAGTGAGTTCTCTCACACATTTTGCTTATGGAACTATCTTCCATCTTCTTACTTTTCAGCCACCATCTTCTGTTTCCTTGAATTGTTCTCTCTTCTCATTAATATTCTTCTCATATTCTTTCACTCTCAGTGGTTTTTATCTTAGTGGTTTTATTGCTTTCGTTGGGGTGAAATGATTAAAAAAAAAAAAAATCAGTTGAGAATTACCGTATTCAACAAAATATGTCTATTAATGCAAACAGCCATTGGATAATAAATATGTTACAGGCGATGTTAAATATTAAACAAAACCGCTTTGAATCAAGAATGCTGTGTTTTAATTTAGAGGGTGTTGGGGGGGTAAGGTAATTTGTGCAATTTATAATATTTTCATGTTGATTTCAGACTTCACTGAATATGGGCGCCAAAAGAGACAGTTGTTCAGACAATACTGACAGTGATTCCAGTAGTTCTGAGGATGAAGAAGAAGAAGAAGCAGGAGAGGGTCAGAAGAGACCCCCAAAGAAAGGAAAAGTCATTAAAGAAAGTTTTCTTCTCAGAAAGGTATTACTATTACGTTTATTCATTCTTTCATTTACAGATTTAGAAATGAGTGGCAAAAGAACAGTCTTGTTCATAGTAAAATCATTGTTTGCTGAATCTAATACGCTCATCCCTTGCTATTACGGACTTTCTTTTAACAGATATTGGAAAATGCCTTTCATTGCTACTAATTGTAGGAATTGACTAATAGCAATGCCAAAAATAAAGTCCTCGCGTATATGAAACAAGGGAAGTAACTCTATTGGTAAATCTACTAATTCAAGCTTTCTATTCACAAACTTTCTTTGATTTATTTTTCTCCTAATGCCACCACAAAAAAAGAAAAACTAAAAAAACGACACCTAAGATTTCAAATGAAAAATCTTGAAGTTTTTATTTTAGTTTTAATTTCAAGCTTCCAAAAATAAAATATATTTTTCTGAAACATTATTAGCTAATTTAAAGTATAAATCTGATTTGAAACAAATATTATTTAAGTTTAAAATATTGCAAAAATACATTTTCTAACCTGACAGTAGCTGTGTTGACATGTTCAACAGTTTGATGACAGCTCTTTAGTAAAACCTAATAGAATGAAAATGACATAAGCACCTATTTTAAATAATTTTTAAGTAGTTCATAATCATACAAATTTAGAAAAATATTCTTCGTAATCTAATCTTTTATTGAATTTTAGAAAATTTGGCTTTAAATTTAATATAGTTATCGCTCTTGTTTTCTGATAATGTTGTGTATGGTCAACTGTACAGGGTGCGATGGATAAATTGTCGTTTAAATTACACAAAAATGGAAATAACACTGACATCTCATTTTAACAAATATAGTTACCAAAATTACACAAAAATGTCTTAAAATACTAAAGTACTAAAGAGTACATTTATTCAATAAAAATCACCATTGGTTTCAACCACAGTCTCCAGACTTCTTCAGAATCTCCTTCATCTCTTCTGGACAGTCTCCTTCTTTAAGTTGATGGATGCTGCCATAATCCATCTTTGGTGTGACAAGGAGTTTTGTTGGTCTCTTGTTCAACTGTGCTCCACACATAATAATCAAAGGGTTTGCAGTCTGGGAACTTAGGTGGTCAGATGTAAGGGGTGATATGGTTGCAGAATTTGTCTGACAGCCATGACTGGGTTCTCCTGCTTGTGTGGCATGGTGCAGAGTCCTTTTGCCAGACATAGGGTCTACCAGCAGCCACCCTCTTGACCTGAAGCATCACTACCTCCTCAAGTTGACTCTGAGGCCCTGTAGGAAGATGTATCGCCATCACTCGTGATCACTACAAACACCTTTGTAATCACCATTAGACTTATCTAACTCTTTCTGAATCCTCTGCAGTGTCCTCAGATTGACACCAAAACACTCTTAAATGTTTGTATTGGAGCTTCTGGCATGAATGCCAAATAGTATAGCATGTCATTTCTGGTGGAGTGAATTATGTCATGGTGCTCTTTTTCTTACAGATGGTGCCCAACTGAGCCTACTATAATGTGCAGTCAACACAATCAAAGACAAACAACACACATGCACAAAATTAAAAATATAAATTGGCGACAATTTATCCATCGCACCCTGTACCTAAAGAAATCAGCATATTGATACACTAATAAAAAAAAAAATTCAAAACTCTTTTAAAAATTTTAGCGTTTGATGATTGGTATTATACTTTTCCATTCATGATTAGTAAATATAGTTTACACTTAATAATATAATCTAAAAGGCAGATATTAATACAGAATTTTAAAAGATTTAAAATTTTATAAATTATTATAATTAAAATTTAAAAATGAAAACAATTCTTGTAAAAATTCATTCTTCATTGAAAATTTTTTTTTTCTTAAGACAATAATGTCTTTAATATATCTTATTTCTAAAAACAATTAAAAACTTTTCAAATTGAATAATGTCATAGTTGTATTGTATTATTTATTTTTCAATTTGAAGCAGTTTTTTGGTAAATGGTGTTTCTCTGTTTGACAATAACAAATTGATTATTTAAATTCTCGAAGGAGTCCTGCTTTTAACTAATATAAATATGAAGAAGCTGAAATTTAATTTCTCAAAATTTCATAAAACTAAGTTGCGATAACAGATGTAAAAAAAAAATTACCAAGATTTTATACAAAAAAAAATTTCAAAAATAATTTCATTGATTTGTGAGTAAGTCCAGAAAATTTAATTAAAATTCAGCAATTATTTGATTTTTGCAAGAATTTCCAAAACAATGTGTTTTTTTTTTGGTTTTTTTTTTTTTACTGCAAAAAAAAGACACTAAAATTACCATAGTAATCTGATGCAAGAAAAACAAAATTTTTAACCAAAATTTTGAACGTGCTAGAAAGCATTAAAAAATTTAATGAAATAATCAAAATACTTTGGTCTTTCCTCTTAAACATTTTGACGATAAAACTTTGTTTTCATTAAGTTTGGGGCCTTTTTCATCATGCAATATTCTTTTTTAGCAAAAAAAGTTGAGGTATGTATGTTAATCCCATATAAAGCCCAAGAGACACTCAGGGTAAAGGGTTACTGAATGGAGTTGTATGAGTGGCAAGCATAGGAGGTAAGAAGTGTAGTTTATGAGGAGATATTAGAAAGATAATGGTTAAGCCTAGACTTGAAGAGGTGAAATTGTAATGACCAGGAGAGTATACTCTTGGGAGTCAATTTCATAAAGTAGCAGTTGATGGGAGGAAGCTGTCTGAATCAAACTTTCTTTTTACTAATGGGATATGAAGAGAATAAGGATGATTCAATCCTGTGGATGTGGCACAGTGAGTTTTAGTTGTGAGGGTCGGAACTGATGGAACATAGGAATGTAGCTGGTCAGTACATTTTCAATGGAATTAGCAAGAGAATAACAAGAGACTTGTGAAGTTTTATCGGTTGGAGAGTTGTACAATGGAAAATAATTAATCACTTCCAAGACCATGTAGACGCTTTTTAAGTCTATCAACAGTAGAAAGTGAAGGGTCTGAAGCTACAACTTGGATATGAATTGATGATTTCAAATTTTACATTCTACTTTTATGTACTATATTTTTTAACTGTTTTATCCTTGTTCTTGAGATAAACTTTTATTGAAAAAATAATGGTTTATTATTTACTACCAAAATGCAAAGGTTGTTTGCCCAGTGCTGGATTTACCTAGGCTAGGGCCTCAAAATCTAGGGGGCCACCAGCCAAAGTCTATAATATTTTTGACTCTGTCATAGGCCTTTTTTACACAAGCTGTCATAATGCATTGTAGACTCTAAATAACCCTTCAGTAATTTTAAACACCTGTCATCATCCTTAGCTTTGCTGAAATTATTTAATTTAACACTCTTTCATTTTCCTCTACTCGTGAGAGTAGGGAATTTGGAAGGGCCTCACAAGTGGAATAGCCTAGGGCCTCTATTCATCTAAATCCAACCCTGCTTGCCTCAAGCAAAACACACCAATTCTGAGACAGATGTAGGAAATTTGATGTTATTATTGTAGCTAAGGTTGTAATCTATAACTGAAGATTTTATATTTATGTTAAAGTAAACACAGGCAGAGTTGTAAGAAATACTTGTATGCTATTTTCAATTGTTATGGTCAAACACTGGCAATTGATGCAAAAAAATTACATTCAATAAAATAGTCTGCTTCTGTCTAGCAAACCACCAGAAGTTACCAGATGTTAATAAAGAGAGAATTATTATCATACTTATTATAAAACGCAGATTGTGTGTGTGTGTGTGTGTGTGTGTGTGTCTGTAACGTTTATATATTGGATCGGATTTCCTACATTTTTTAACCGATTTCAACAAAACTTCACAGGACTACGTAAAATTACCTTGCGGTGGTTCTGACAGCACCAAAAATTGGAAAAACAATTGTTTTTGCACGAAATCAATTTGAAAACACGATAAAACACGATTCTGTTGTCAAAATGAAAAGAAGACAACTCATATCGAGTTATACTTATTATAAAACCCAGTTCGTTTGTGTGTGTGTGTGTTCGTTTATATATGGGATCAGATTTCCTACATTTTTCAACCGATTTCAACAAGACTTAACTTTTGGGGGGGGGGCAGGTAGTGTTTCTTATTGTCTTGCACACTTTTTTCTTTATTTTTACACTCAGAATGCTTTAAAAATTCCATTTACAAGACAATTGTTTATAATAAAATTCTATTCAATCGGTAGACTCATAACGATTGAAAACAATGTTTTTGTTTGAGTTTGGGTTTGACCAATTTGTAAAAAATACTAATTAAGACATGCATGTCCGTCAACCTTAAACAATAATCTTTGTCAATTTTAATTTTTCAGTCTTGACGATACTTGATCTATCTCTTACTGTTACATCCCCGGGCAACGCCGGGCTCTACTGCTAGTCATTACTAAAATTATTTTTACATGTAAACTTTACAAAATAGTAACACAGTCCTTGAAACTCATTTGGGGATTGACTAGAAACTTATCTGTTAAATAAAAGTATTTATAACTGTTAAGAAAAAAAGACAGACATTTAAGTTTATAGTGAAGTTTTATTCAATGTAAGTTGAAGGGTAGACAACTATGGTTACTTTTCACTGCAATAGTATTTGTTTGTAGTAAATACAGCAGTGAAAAGGTTAATATTTATATTTTATTTATTTATATTTTTGTCTTTTTTCTTTCCAGAAAAATTTGAGCCCTGGTTGGCAAGCTGTGAAAGTGATTCTACGTGAGAATCCATCTACACTTGAATTCCATAAAGCTACTGTGGTAACTTACTTTTTATATTTCCTATAAAATTTATAGATATATCAAAGTGATTGATCTATTTACTAGGTTGGTCAGAAAATGCTGACACACTTAGGAAGCAGAAAGAAAACAATAAACATTCCTTAGAGCTACAAGAGACAGGGAGATGTGGAGAGCTATGATCGCCGATGGCTCATATGTCTATAATAGCAACAGGACGCTGGTGACAATGCTTTGTTCTTTATCTATTCATGTCTGAGTTCAAAATCAGGATAGAGTTCACTTTACACATTGGTGATGCTGCTGCTGCAGGACAAACCAATTAATCACCAAACAAAATGACATATACCCAAGACACATGGCCTTATAGATTAAAGCTTTGATTAAAGCATATCTGGTTTCCTGGGCGCAGGGTTGGGAGAATAGGTCACGTACTCTGGTTCAGTGGAAGAAAGAAAGAAACAAGCCAAGCAACACAAAGGTTAATAAAATGGAGATAATAAAATAATCAGACCCCCCCCTCCAGTATGCACAGCAGAATATGAATAATCTACTCCGTTGATTGAATAAAGGGTTCATTTACAAATTTCAAGAAGGTTACAAAATATTAGGTTGGCCAAAAAGTCCTGACTCACTTAGTGGAAAGAAAACAACAAAATTTTATGGAGAAACTTTAGGACCCTTTTTATAAATTAATTATTTTCACACTCTTACCTTCATTCTCTGTAACCCCCTGCATTCCAGTGGCATTCTTGCCTTGCTTGGGGAGAAATGATTCTTTAAAAAAAAAAGAAATTGTTTGTTTTGTTTGTTTAACAGCATATCAAATCCTTATGGGTCATTTAATGCCAAAATTTAATATTCTTGGGAGCTTTGAAGTAATAAAAATATGATACATGTTATTCTGCTTTCACAGTTGAATACATGGTAGATAATACTCAGTTTCTGTGCATATACATATTTCTGTGGATATCATTATTAGAGGTGGTGATGCATGTTTTATGTTGTTTTGTTGAAGTTACATTTTGGAATACAGTTTGATTTCTTTAAGGAATCGTAGGATATTATGTGGATTAATGTCATGAAAGAGTTCTTTCATGTTGGTTGTTTGCTTTTGTTTAGTGGCTTATTAACCTCTATGGGTTATTTAATTCTGAAATCTAAATATTTTGAATGTGTTCAACTACAGATAAAATGTATTGTTGGTCATTTTGCTATAAAACATATTGTTGGTCATTTTACTTTAAATAGGTATTTTTATACATTCATAGTATTTTGTTTTTGTTTGGGGCTTCACTATTTGCCCATAGCTGTGACCCTAACAGATGCTACCACCCCCGATCAGGGTAAACCTGGGAATAACAGCAATTAAGAGATGGTTCCATGCTGCTCAAAGCCTACAATGACCTGATCAGAGGTCCTGCTGCTGGATGTAGTTTATCGTCATGCCTAGGGCTAGGGATAAAAAAATGGATTAATTTGTGCGATAGTGAAGGTAAAAGATGAGGCTGAAATTTGAACTTTGCTTTTTGATCATCATTGTCATGATAGAGGATCATCCAAGCTACCATGTTACACACAGTCTACACTTCCAAAGCATTCATCTTGTGCAACTAACAAATTACATTCAAAGTCTTTATTATTTTCTTAATTTAGAATTATTTTTTTCAACATCTGCCTATATTTCTGAGATAAGGTATTGTAACTATTTACACTATTTACATCATTTGGACTATTGTTTGATTTTTATTGCTATGATCATGATGTTTTGGCCATTGTATTCTCTGGCCTCGTTAAGGTGATATTTTCTTTCAGTTTTGTTATTTTTATTTTTGTTATTTCACTTATCTTGTTTGTAGAATTCTATACTTAATAAAAATTGTATTCCTGGCTAATAAATTTTGACCATTTCATAAAAATAGACTGAAAAAAAAGCTTCATATATTTTTTATATTTTAGATGTTAGAAAATGAGAAGTTATGTACAGTGATGGATTTAAATGGTTGTACTGTGAAGGATTATGTGAAAAAAGGTGAGTTTGTTACTCAAATTTGAATTAAAATTAAACCTGTCATTCAATAGATGCTTCTATATTGAGTTTTCAGATTTAATGTTTAGCACTCGGCATTATTAATATTACTTACCTTTCCACTGCATTCTTCTTCAAAGCCTCTTAATTGCAGTATCCTTACGTTAATTTCACTCAAAAAGTTTTTTTTCTGTTGCCATAGCAGGATATGACAGCACAACTATGAAATTAAAACATACTATTATTGAGGGATCAGAGTCACCTTCAGTGACAGTATGAACTTTTTGTATTGCAAATGAAATCACATACAGAGTGATAAATGTTAATGGTTTCTTGAATAAAAAAAATCAGTATTCCTTATCAAATGTCCCAAGAAGTTAAAAAATAGAATCTGGAATTGGAATGAAAGCAGTGATGGCACATCCTGAATCTATGATAAAAATTCAGAATGTGAAATTAATAAATTCTAAACACTTCAAGTACCTCAGTGTATGGGGTCCACAGGAGGAGTGATGCCTGGCCTTTCTCATCCTGCCTAAATCACAAGCAGCTGTTGGTCGCTGTAGAGCCAATCTTCAGAAATGTGGATATGCCACCAATGTTGATCCCAACTGGTAAAATGGGCAATTAGAAACTATAGAGAATTTAGTTTGTCCTAATCTTGAAGGTCCATGTACACTTAACGACCTTGAAACCTTAACACCTCAGGCAAGGCTCTGTGTGCAAGGCTCTGTGTGCAACACTGGATGGGTGTGGTGTAGTGACTCGATAAGAAGACCTCAGTTTATGTATCAGCCATAATAAATTTACCATTTTTTTTCACAAAATTCAATCAGTGTCATTGTCTTGATATTTTCTTAAGATTTACATTTAAGAAGCAATAAAAAATTTTGAAGCTGTTAAAAATGACAGGTTAAAATCAGAATCCAAAATTGAAACATGTTGCTATTGAATTTTGGGCTTCATAATGGATTCCACCTCAGGAAATCTAAGATCTCATGCAAAATGTTTAATGTGGAATTAATAAATTCTAACCACTTTAAGCATCAATCAGTGATGACAAATTTAGTAAGAGATAAGGAAATTGAACACAGAATCGGTTAGGCTAGGAATACTTTGCTCCAACTTAAAAATTCTATAAAATCCTAATATTGACATAAAAACCAATCATGTTCTTAAAAAGTCTTATGACATTGAGAGTCTTGTTAAAAAAATATATGAACATTCATCTATATCTATATCTATCCCAAATTGGTTTCTTCCTATCTATCTATCTATCTATCTATCTATCTATCTATCTATCTAAAATCAGTTTCTATCTATCTATCTAAAATCAGTTTCTTTCTATCTATCTATCTATCTATCTATCTATCTATCTATCTATCTATCTATCTAAAATCAGTTTCTTCCTATCTATCTATCTATCTATCTATCTATCTATCTATCTAAAATCAGTTTCTTCCTATCTATCTATCTATCTATCTATCTATCTATCTATCTATCTAAAATCAGTTTCTTCCTATCTATCTATCTATCTAAAATCAGTTTCTATCTATCTATCTATCTATCTATCTATCTATCTATCTATCTATCTATCTAAAATCAGTTTCTTCCTATCTATCTATCTATCTAAAATCAGTTTCTTCCTATCTATCTATCTATCTATCTATCTATCTATCTATCTATCTATCTATCTATCTATCTATCTATCTATCTATCTATCTAAAATCAGTTTCTTCCTATCTATCTATCTATCTATCTATCTATCTATCTATCTATCTATCTATCTATCTATCTATCTAAAATCAGTTTCTTCCTATCTATCTATCTATCTATCTATCTATCTATCTATCTATCTATCTATCTATCTAAAATCAGTTTCTTCCTATCTATCTATCTATCTATCTATCTATCTATCTATCTATCTATCTATCTATCTATCATCTGTTCTTGATGTCTTAAGTTTTATTACTTCTTTGCCTCTTTGTGCTTTAAAAGTGGGTGAAACTTTATTTGATATTTTTTCTTTTCAAGTATGAAGAGCACTTGAAGGTAGGTAGTTATTAAGGTATTAATATATAGATGAAAATGATATAAATTTATATTGTTTTTAAATTGCAAATCTGCACTATAATATTTTTATAGGCCCCTGTTAAGTAAACAAATAAAAAAATCTTTTATGAAAAAACTTGTAATTTGAACAACTGTTATGAGTTTTCATTTTTTTTTTTTTTTTTTTAAAGAATATTTCCTCATAATTGAAATTTCTTTTTCTTTTTTACAGAAGATGACAATGTGAGTGCTGCAAAGCGCCATCTATTGTCTGTGAAAGACAGCAAGGGCAAGCGACTGACATTATTGGCTGGAAGCTTGGATGAGTGCCGAGGCTGGCAGACACAACTGCATAATCTTTGCAAATCCGCCTCAGCTGTTGCCACAGCAAAGTGAATTGTAACCAACAACGACCAGGTTTATAATAATAATAATTATTATTGCAATCACTATTATTAATTATAACCTGTTATGGTAGCAATGTGGACCAAGCTTTGTAACCTGAAACGTGATGTCTTTGGCAATGGGAGTTGAAACATATTTTTAACTTGCCATTTGCTGAAGAATGCTTTGTGATGGAACTAATTCAGACGTTTTCATTTGAGCAGTTACATTCATTCTGTATATTATGAATTCAGTAGGTTTTTTTTTTTTTTTTTGAGATCTTTAGATTATATCCTAAGAATAAGAATACATATATATATATATATACACTTTTTTTTTTTACCCAGTTTTGTTTCTGCTTTTTATAAATAGCAATGGATGTGTAAGTAGTGTAATGAATAGTGGCTCAGAATATGAAATCTGAGAGACGAGTTCAAATTCCAGTCAAATTTGTTACATTCACATGTGCAAATACCTTTGGGAAAGGTATGAATCCATCTCCTCCCCCCAGCTATGAGTTAAATGATAGGATTTTTATCTGGAATTTACAAAAAAAATGTTTGCACAATATTCACTTGCAAGAAAAGAATTATTCTTACAATCCAGAATATGTTTCAGCTTTAAATAACCCACTAAGGGGGATGGTAAACCATTAAAAAAAAACTCCAAATCAATCAACATTATAAACAGTATTTTTTTTTTCTAAAGGTTGTGGGAAACAAGTTGATAAACAAAGGGAAGGAAAGAATTTTCAATATGATTTGAAGCACCTTGAAAAAGCAGACTGTTCAACAATATTTTATTAAATAATTTTACCTTTACTCTTTCTATCTTTGAAAATAATATTTTTCTAAGCAAAAATCTTAATTATAATAATTAAAATTATCTTTGTAATTAGTAAAAAAAAAGTTATGGCACAGAATTTTGTAACTTTTATGAAAATTTACCAGCATAAAATTTTACTATATATTTTCAACAACCTTTAAAGGATGACTAATAATTTAAAAGCTTAAAGTATGAGGTCTAACAAAAGAGAAAAAAAAAACAGGTATTATTATTTCATTAGTTAAGGTTTTATATTTGCATATTTATGCAGACATTTTTTACAGTTATTTTTATTTCAATTGTTAAGCTGTCATCTGACAACATTAGATTTATGACTAAATATTTGAGATGAGGAATTGTCATTATTACATGCCTTGTTATTAGGACTAGCATTGCTATTTTGGTTGTTCTACTCACAGTGTTTCAGCTATTGTATCTGCTGATGTCTGTTGTAAATACGATGACCTCGTAATTTTGGACCAGTATGCTCACAGATATTTCATAGGAGATTTTCAAATGATTTTTCTCATGGTCTTTCACATTCAGTCATCCTTGTCTTAGTGGCTTTATTGCCTTGCTTGTGGTGAAATGATTAAAAAAAAGATACTAGTTTATTCAACTTTGTTTTCTTACCCATTTCTTCTGCTGAACCACTTCCCAGGGATTGAACTGACAACTAGATTTCTTTTAACTAATGCTTTAGACCTAATGTCTGTACTCTGGTGATGAGGCTGTGTGTGTCTTGTTACTTGAGTGATGAGGCTGTGTGTGTGTCGTTACTTGAGTGATGAGGCTGTGTGTGTGTCTCAAGTGGTGAAGTTGCATGTATGTTCTTACTTAAGTGGTGAAGATATCTTGACTCTGATGGTGATGCTGCATGTGTCCGGATGATGAAGCTTATGCATGTGTCCTAACTCAGGTGGTGAGACTCTGTGTGTGTGTGTGTGTGTGTGTGTGTGTGTGTGTGTGTGCATACCAACAGGTGATGAATCTATGTATGTATTTCAATTTGGGCAGTGAGGCTGTGTGTGTCCTAACTTGGTGAAGCTGTGTGAGTGTCCTAACTTGAGTGGTAGGGCTGTGTAAGTGTCTTGACTCAGGCAGTGAGGCTGGTGAATATTAACTGATATGAAACATCCCTGTGAATTGACTAACGGGTTCAGTTTAAAATTCCAGGAAGGTTAATGAGTACAATGACAGTCACATGAAAATGGCTTGAGACTACAACAGCTGAAATGTTATGAGAATAGCAACTGCCATGCTGTTTTGAATAGCGCATCATATGAACATGTTGAGTATAATCTGGTTTTTTACTGTTCAACTGAATTTTATGGCATCGTGAAAACATTTGACAGTTAATATCAGTCCCAAAAAAATTTTTTTATTTGTATTTTTTGAAGGAAGCTAGTTTTCTCTTGAAACATTTCTTTGGAATCTAATTTTTTTTTTTTTGCACACTGCTATATTTTTACACTGCTCACATTGTTTGGACTGTTGTCCTCATATTCATGATGTTTTGGCTGTTGTACGCTCCGGCCTTCAGGTGATATACATTGGAATTTTGAACTGAACTCTTTATTTAGTCCACTTGGGTAGATTGTCTTTTCTGGATATCTCAGTTTTCAGTTAATTCCCTTTAGTAAATCAACTCTCCAAGATTTGTTTTTGTTCACTTCTGCTGTGGCCATATTGGACTCATGACTCATTTGGTCAAGTTACTTTTGAATTACTTCTACCAACACTTTTATACACTGGACCATGTGTCTCCAAACCTGAACAATGTAAATAATATAAATAGTTACAATACCTCATCTCATAAATATAGACAGATGCTGTATTTTTAATTAAAAATGACACAAAATTATTTCATTAAAAATCCCTGCAATTTTCTGTCCCTGCAGGGAATATTAAAAAGAAATTCAATTAGAATATTTTCAAAAACACTTTTAACAGATTTTAACATTGAAATTAAATAAACATGATTATTGTTTGGATATTTATTTTTTTCCGTACATAATTAGTAAAATAATAATTAGTAAAAATACATAAAAAAAGTTAAATTGTGTATAGACTGTAAGGGGGCTTTTTAGTGTTCATGAGTTGTGTCCCTTATATTTAATGGAGATGCCAAATAAAGCATAGCACCACGTGTCTGACTCAATATGATGAAAGCAAATTCGAAATACCAGAGACTTTTAACCTATAAAGTAATATAATTTTAATTTAATTTTGCAGTTGTATTAATATGGACTGGCATTATTGATAAAAATTTCAGTTTCCATTTTTAATTTTCTGATGAATCATAAATAATTCTTCTTAATATAATGAAAAAAGAAGCTCCTTATGGGTTCCACATACTCATAGAAACTTTCCTATTGCCTCATTAAATCTCTGAGCTGAACAACTCCAACAAAATATTGCAGTAACAATCATAACTACTGTATTTTCTGCTTATAAGATGCATTTTTTCCTAAAGGCTATCTGCAAGAATCATCCTATAAATTGAAGGTTGGTGGTGGCAGTTAACTTCCCTTCTAAATATTAGATTCTAAATAGTTACCATAAATTTGGTACTTCTTCTTGGTCTGTGATGAATTTGTCATGATTAGTCAGGTTTTCATACCGAAATATATTATTCCATTGGTAAAATTGGGGATTGTGGGGAGGGCTATGAAGTGCAAAGAAAAAAAACACTTTTTTTTATTTCTTTCTTCAATATTTTTTGGGGTGTCTAATGCAAGGAGCATCTTATAAGCAAAATGCAGTATGAATGTAGGTCATTATTTATAGAAGTAAGAGGGTACAAATGAAAATATTAAAAATTTATAAGGTTTTCCATTTTACTGAAGCTGACATTATGAGTGTTATCACTTTCTCTTTCTTTTTTATTTTTATGAATTCTTTCTTTTTCTCGCTATAACCAGACAACATGTCTGAGATATCCTTTTTCTTCCATTTTCCCTTGCAATCAAAACAAAACAGTCCATTATTTATCTAAGGCAATGGCTTGGTGCAATGCCTTTGCCAAATAACTTACTAATTAATAGAGAAGCAAGCAGAATTATAATATGCTGTATTTTGTTCAGAATTCATAATTCGAGAGGACAAGAATGTTTCTGTTTTACACAAACGTCTTTTATTATCTAAGGAAAATCTAACAGATTGAAAAAATGAATGTACAATCTAAATGGACTGATAAAATCTACAATGATTTAAAATTTGCCAACCCAAAATTATTGTAGAAATAATACATGATTTCTTGTGTATTTAAAATAAAAAAAAAATTCAATTCAAATTATATTTTCTTTTTACTTGAAGTGTGTTAATGTTTAGTTTTTGCTAATTTTTGACAAAGAGAAAAGCTTTTGTTTCTTTCTTCACGTTTGTATCACTTAAGTGTTAGTTTTATATCTACTGAAGGATTTTTTAACCAGCTGGCTCTGGTTTATGCTGATGAGTGGGCATCTAAACCTTAAGCCAGTCTTTTCCATCACATCTTGGAGCAGTGTTTCTCAACTGGTGCACCTAAGTGCACTAATGCAGCCTGAAAGGTAGACAAGTGCACGCCAAGTTAACGAGTAATTTATGAATTATTTTTATATTAAAAAATCTTTTATTTTTAAAAAGCTAGATACACTAAGCAGATGGCTTCCATGTCTAAGTCAATTCTTTGTCTTGATGTTTTAAACTGAATGCTAAATTCATTAATCTTTCCCTTTTGTCTTCCTCAAGTGAGTTAGGTCAGTTATTAGCAGTTTCTTTCTCTAAAACAAAACAAAAAAAAAACATAGATCTTCATAAATCGTTTTAAATGAAAAAACTGTACCACTAATCTTAATTTTCTACTATAGTGGATAACAGATCAAGTCTTTAAAGAACTTCATGACTAATTTTTCCTTATTCAAATTTAAAATGTGCCCCAGAGTTTTAGTTAAGTTTGCTCTGAAGTAAAAAAGGTTGAGAAACACTTGTAGATGTATTTCAAAGTCTCTTGTCAAAATTTAAAAAAATCAATTCACTTAATATATTCACTTCTGACTTTGTAAGATGTTTTGGAATATTCTGTGACAATGCTGGCTATTTAGGCTTAAGATTTGCTTGTTAACACAAGTTTTGGTTAATATTGGATCAAGGGATAGTGATAGCTGTCTACAAATACAATTCTTTCACAACAATCTGATTTTTTT